ACCGGAGCAGGATGATGGCACCAGATCCCAACCTAGGACACAAGAGGGACAAGTGGGAAGCAGAGGACCTCCAACACCAAGCACAGGGCCCTCCAGGGAGACACTCCACGGGGCAATATTAAGGCCCCAGTAGGCCTCTGAGCCCAACAGGGGCGTGGTTACAGGAGATGGCAGGCTCCGGGGTCAGCAACGTGAGGCCCACTCCCCAAGTCACTGTGGGGGGAGCTAATGATAAGAGGGCACCCGCATCCCCCACTCACTGTGACCAGATGGAGGCTCCAGACAGATGATGTAGGCCGCAGATGCCGCCGCCACCGCGGGAAGCAGCAAGGCTCAGCGGCGTCTCTCCCCCAGTCCCAGCAATGCAGAGGGCGCCGCGGATGTCCCCAGGCGATCTCCCACAGCCCGGATGGCAGCAGGTGCGGATGGGAGAGCTGATGGGTGGCGCCGGAGCTCCGGCCCACGCGGCCGCACCAGGCCGCGGACGTCAGCCACCACGAGGGGCGGAAATATCACCCGGGTTCTGACTCCCCGGGATCGGGGATACTACCCGGGTCCTCCGCCGTCACTCCGTGATCCGCTGCCGCACGGATGGCAGCGGATTTAAAAGCTTGGCACCGGAGCTCCGGATTATGCGGCCGCTCCAGTCGCCATCTTGGACACGCCCCATAAGACGACTTTTTAACCCATAAAAATCTTCTGAAAAGTCGGGGGTCGTCTTATACGCCGGTATACGGCGAGCCGGTGTCAGGGTGGCACGTTTTTGGGAGGAATAGTGCCCCATCATTGGTGTCAGAGCGAGGAATCATGCCCCATCATTGGTGTCAGTGGGAGGAATAGTGCCCCAACATTGGTGTCAGTGGGAGGAATAGTGTCCCATCATTGGTATCAGTGGGAGGAATAGTGCCCGATCATTGGTATCATTGGGGGGAATAGTGCCCCATCATTGGTGTCAGTGGGAAGAATAGTGTCCCATCATTGGTATCAGTGGGAGGAATAGTGCCCGATCATTGGTATCATTGGGGGGAATAGTGCCCCATCATTGGTGTCAGTGGGAGCAATAGCACCCCATCATTGTAATACCATACTGAAATACCATATTGAAATTAAATCTGATGTTTTTTAATTTTTATTTGGCGTGCGTTGGAAGAGGGGTAGTCTTATACGGCGAGTATAGCCCAAACACTATATTTTAACAGGAAAGTAGGGGGTCGTCTTATACGCTGCAAAATACGGTATATATATATTTCATCATATTCTACTTATGGCTGAGTCTCTATTTCATATGTTTTTATGTTTTTTATGTGTTATATGTGGTATAGATTTTATATATTGATGGTATAATGTCCAGTATGCATGCTTTTGTTGGCATCCAATTATTCACTCGCACAGGATCATAACACAGTTGTATATATACATTGTATTTTTCCTTTTGTACTTACAAGTATATCCTGTATATTACATATATGTTCCATCTATCATTCATTATTTACTTTTCCTTGCATACATGTATTTTATACTGTTATTTAGAATTCATTTGTGTCCCTGCTGGCCCAGGTGGTTGTGTGTTTTTTTTTTTTTTTTTTTTATATCATAAATATTACATATAATTTTTTATTTCCATTGTCATTTTTATTTTAATTTTATTTTTATTTTTATTTTGGGTATATACCCAGCACACACAACATTCTGGCATTTGGTATCAATTTTTAGTGCCCTTCTAGCACCAGTCGGTGAGCCACTTTTGTTTTTCTTTTGCTCTTCCGCCCTTAGGTGACACACATCTTCGGCCGGCACCAGGCGGCTCAGCTAACCGGCGCATGCGCTATTCACACGATATGGTGTGCGGCGCTATTGCACATGCGTGGGCGTGTACGGGTCGCTGTATACAGACACGCCCACAGTCTGATGCCTGTCACGTTCATATTTACCAGCGTGGCAGGATATATGAATGCCGCGCTGGTTTGTGCGCTGTGTTACCGATACCAGGCTTCATCCATCCTTCACCTCACTCCCCATGGATCGGAGAGTTTTTGCAGGAATGCTGCCATATTGCTATCCTTTTACTCATTACAACACTGAGTTCTTCAAATCAAAATCTCTGTGAATCCCCAAAGAAAAGTAAATCTTTCACCCTTGAAAGTGCAAATATCATAAACCTTTTCTATAAACCTTCCCCAAAAACTCAAATCCTATCCCTCATTCCCAATATATCAAAAATGTCCACAATACAAAATCCAAAATTGTCCAAACTATCCAAATTTCCAGCTGTGATAAATATCTGATTTGTCACTCCAATCCAAGATACCTCAAAAAACTAAATATAGTGCATTGTCTTTCAAAATATAATATTATGTGATATCATGCAAAAGCACTAGTGATGCAAAACATAATATAAGCAATATTATAAATCAACACGTGAAATTAAAGATCCACACAACTGCACTAGTGATATTGTGAAATAATCACTCCAATAAGTGAAATACAACAAATCCAAAGTATGTAGCCAGTGAAAAAGTGTACAGGACCAGATAAGTGCCACCACTCTGCGTTAGGATAACATGCTATCACCCTCTTTCAGCTTGCACAGGCGTTTCACAAATCCCCATATGCCAGATGGCTTTCCTCTTATGGGAGTATGCAGTGGGATCCCCCATTCCTCACAGGGCAGAGAAGAGAAAACTCAGTGGAGTATATATATGAAAATCACACATTTATTATCCACATACATTTAAGGAAAAAAAGTCCATCCTATGCTGAAACCATATCCAAGATGGCCACGCTGCTCCTTCCGGTTTTGCGTCTGACGTCACGAACCTGACGCGTTTCGTCACTTCCGAATTTTTCTCAAGGGGTAGGAGGGGTAGATTGGAGTTTTTGGGGAAGGTTTATAGAAAAGGTTTATGATATTAACACTGTGTTCTTGCCATTTTCCATTGGTGACAGTCTAATCCATGGCGTTTGTCCTTTAAGAGGCATGATCATTCCCCTTGAGGGCACATATGAGTACACACATATATACACTCACTATATATATATATGTCATAAACATTATATGTATATGTGTTGTCATTGGTGACCGAAGATGATCCTTGGATATATTGCATGATAATACATTTTTTTTCTCTGTTTCTGATTGGGCTATTGTTAATGGGTGGGAGGGTTTCTTGACCCTCATTTTGACATTTGTTGGTATATAGGCCAGGGACCAGCAGGCACACTTTTAGCTCTGAGAAAGGGAGTTTGCCTCCCGAAACGCGTCAGTATATCCGCACCAAGGGCACAGCATTGCATCCGCTGTTGTTGCGTACCACTCATTCTGTTTTTTATTCTCGCTGGTTTGTGAGTATATTTCCATTTCATCTAATAAATACGTGGGTCTCCACGGTCATGCACGATGAGAGTGCGCCCTTGTCTGTTTTTGTTCAGTATTCAAATGAAATTAATCGAACGAAACAAAATTAGTCAAATAACGAATCAAAACCAAATTTCTTTATTGTGCACTTGTCTATTTAATACTTCACATACATCCATAGCCAACGTTCTAAATAGAATAATAAAAGTACAAGGCATGCGTTCCATGTGCGAGATTCAGCGGTGACACCACGTTACATTTGACTCTGCTGTCATTTAGGGTCACAGCACAGACTGCGAAGGCTGCACACACAGATCGCTGGTTATAGTTAAGTTACTAAGTCTCTAATTCAAATGTTTTTTTTCAAGGTCACGCTTAAGATCTGGCAGGAAAAATAAGAATGGCTGCCTGAACTACATAGAAATTGGGGGTTAGCACCTGTGAAGTTTCCGTAAAGAATCACATTTCACCATGCCACCGGTTTAAAATAAAGAGAATGAGTAAGCCAGTACTGGCTTCATTGTTCCTGTGACTTTTAAAATAGACTTCACTGGAAGCTATTCTTCTGGAAAATACCTTTAACCGTTAAACAAGAAACATCCATTCTTTTTTTTATATTCAGCTTTCCAAAGCTTCTACTGCAGATGAAATACTGAGAACTTTGTGATACAAACCATTAACTTGTACGATCATCTCAGGGAGTTACAAATGATCCAATACCAGCAATCAACACCCACAATTTCCAGAACTCTTTCCATAATCCGGGTCATTCCCGACTTCATCTAACAATCATTAATGGCTACTCCCAACTTCACTGCAAAACTGTTTTCTTTGTCTGAGAAAGTGTAGCCAGTTCTCGGTAACGCCAGTGACCTTTATGCACTGCGGCTACCCCTGGAGACTTTCATTTTCTATTCTTGACATTATTTAATTAGGGCATTTCAGCTCTGCATCCTAACATACCTCTAAAATCTAACTCATCTTTATTTCTGTTTCCTTTTTTGAAGGAACAGATTTTTTATATTGATATCCACTTATGTCTTCATGTTTACCAGGCTATGCTTTGCTGCTCTGTTGAAACATCTCTATTGAGTTCAGTAGAGTTAAGCAAATAATCCTGGTTTCAATTCACATAACAGTTTGTCAAATCCTGCTTGAAATCCAAACTTAAAGTGTTACTAAACCCACAACAATAAAATCAGTCTGTAGATGCAGTAAAGCATGCTTGTTATACTCACTGTGGAACCTAAGGGGTTAATCCTGTACATATTGTAAAAAGGCCATTTGATCTTGACTGCTCTGTTCCTACCCCTGTTCAAGTGACCACCTCTTATCTCCTGATAAGACAGACTGAACCGTAGGCATTTTGCACATGCTCAGTTTGGTGTGTATTGCTGGATAGGTTTTTTTGTTTTGTTTTTTAGGAGAGTGCATGTGATCAGCACAGGGCCAATCAGCACTGTCCAGACAGAGGTCAGGGGTTTTGCATCTTCCTAGAGCAGAAAGAAAACTCCTCCTACAAGCTTTAGCTAGTGCTCTGCTGGACACTGATAGACGTCACAAGACTGCTCTAACTTCTGATGAGAAAAGGTATTTAGCAGTTTATAGTTACTAAAATAATTGCACTTCCATGTTGTGTGTACTGTGGGAGACCAGATATAATGAATGCAGGGTCCGGGGAGACCAGATATAGTGAATGCAGGGTCCGGGGAGACCAGATATAGTGAATGCAGGGTCCAGGGAGACCAGATATAGTGAATGCAGGGTCCGGGGAGACCAGATATAGTGAATGCAGGGTCCGGGGAGACCAGATATAGTGAATGCGGGGTCCGGGGAGACCGGATATAGTGAATGCAGGGTCCCGGGTTTAGTAACACTTTAACCAAAGTCCCTGAGGGGGGTCAAATCTTGATACTAAATTCTGACCATTTACAAGGCTAATGCACAAGCTATTGTCAACATGAGGGAAGTGCCGGATTTATAAGGGGGTAAAAGGGTCAACTGCCCTGGGCCCCCTTGACAGAGCAGAGTCCCCTGTACAAAAATAATATAAAACAATAGAAAAAAAATATATAAAATAATAAAAAAAGAAATAATATTAACATTACATAAAATATATAATAATAAAAAATTACTTTTATTAAAAGGATCTTGGGAAGCAATATTTTGCTGGCCATCATCTGTAAAATGTTTTACTCTGGAATGGTATATTTTATCATTTTTAAAAATGAATTTTGGCAGCTCGAGCAAGCCACACAGAGAGCGCTTATGTGCTAATTAGGAAGGTGGCCTATGACTGTGTATGTGTGCAGGCATGACCTCAGAATGATGTTGTGTCATGCACTTCCTGACCGCCCTATAGCGGAACAACTGCTACAGGGTGGCAGGGCTGCACAAAATCATGTATATATACATGATTTTGTATTTCTGGGTAGGGGGCTCACCATTGGTGGCTACAGCTGTCGATCACTAGGTGCCAGCTGGAGATTCTCCACCGACACCCAGGGATTGCTGAGGAACCCTGACAGGGGAGAGGTCAATATGTAAACAGTACTGATCTCTCCCCTGTCTGCACCAGCATGCTGCTTAGTATTGCTCTGCATAGCAAAGCAATACAAAGCAGCATGCTCATACAGTAAAATAGCACACAGCACATAACGTGAAATACACACAGCACACAGTTAACCCTTTCATTGATCCAAATGTTAACCCCTTCCTGCCCAGTGTCATTAGTACAGCGTCAGTGCTTTTTATTAGCACTGATGACTGTATTAGTGTCACTGGGGATGTCAGTGGCAGTTAGTCAGTTCCCCCCCTCCTCCCCCCCCCCTAGTGTCAGAATGCCCTCCGCAGTCCTGCTATAAGTCGCTGATTGCCGCCATTACTAGTATAAAAAAAAAGAAAAAAAAAATCATATATATATATATATATATATATATATATATATATATATATATATATAGATATACTGTATATATATACCGCCATTTGTAGACACTATAATGTTCACGTAAATCAATTAATTTACACATATTGGGATTTTTTTTAGCAAAGACATGTAGCAGAATACAATTTGGCCTAAATTTATGAAAACATTTATTTGCTAAATTTTTTTACTGGGCATGTTTTATAGCAAAAAGTCAAAAATATTGTTCTTTTTAAAAAAAATTTCAGACATTTTCTGTTTATAGCGCACAAAATAAAAAACTCAAAAGGCAATCAAATGCCACCGGGCGAAGGCTCCATATGTGAGAAAAAAAGGACATAAATTTAATTTGGGTGCAGCGTCGCATGACCGCGCAATTGTCAGTTAAAGTAACGCAGTGCCATTTAGCAAAAAATGGCCTGGTCATGAAGGGGGTAAATCCTCTGGAGGACAAGCAGTTAAAAGTGTGTGACTGTTATTGAGCATGTGTATGGGGGTTCACCCAAACCTGAAGACCTCCAAGATCTAAATCTGGCCCTACATTGGAGTATGCGGATCTGGGTACTGCCATGAGGGACATTTAACAAAACAAACCTCTGCAATCATGGGCAACGTAATGTGTTTGTGTTGCTGGACCACACTGTCAGCGGCAGGGTACAAATAACCGTGAACATGCGGTCCAATAAACATAAGCAGAGACATTTCATATCCTTCATGGCATACAGTCAATCTTCTGGTGGCTGGGAAGGATGCAGGATGGGGGAAACTACTGGAGCTGGTGGTTCAGCCATATGTCATGTTTAAAGATGACAGTGCCGTCACTTGTACCCTTCCTCCACACTGGCCTCAACATTGGACTCTTTGGAACCAACAGTCCACCCCAAGCACCCAGAGCATATGCAACAGAAATAAGAATAGTTGGCATGAGTCTGAATAAACAATAAAACAACCAATGGTCTCAAAGAAGAGAGTATTATGACAAGCAAACTATATATTAAGTAATAGTGCCCATGATAGTATCAACCAAACAGCTGTGCTCAAGGGAGAACCTCACCCCTGCAGTGCATTTTTTTAATTCCCATTTACCTATTTCATAGGTTATCTTCAGAATTCATACTCACAGGTCCAGCAGATCCAGAGCTGTCCTGTTGCAATCTGTCAAATGTCAAGCCAGGTTCTGCATCATCATTTTCTTTAGCAATGTCATCAAGGGTCCGAGTCTATTCTAGGTTCTTCCTGATGGCCCAGATATGTTGCGGCACATCATTGGGGGAATGGCTGCAAGAACTAGGAAGTGTCAGCTGGGCTCCTGATGAAGGGCATGAGCAGTACAGTAATCTGATGCCTCCTGGGAGCCATGATGTCAGTATCACTGGAGATTATGGGGTTGAATTTCCAAAACTGAAGAGTGCAAAATCTGGTGCAGCTGTACATGGCGACTAATCAGCTTCTAACTTCAGTTTGTTCAATTAAAGTGCTACTAAACACACAACAGTAAAAATCAGTCTGTATCTGCAGTAAAGCATGCTTGTTATACTCACTGTAGAACCTAAGGGGTTAATCCTCTGCATTGTGTAAAAAGGATGTCTGATCCTGTCTTCTCTGATCCTCCCCTTCTTTCTTGTTCCCCATTTCATCTCCTAATAGAACACAGCCTCAGGGACACTCTGCACATGCTCATTTTAGTGTGTACTGCTAGAGAGGTTTTCTTTTTCTTGGGAGAGTGCATGTGATCAGTACAGGGCCAATCAGCACTTTCCAAACAGAGGGTCAGGGGTTATGAAATCTCATAGGACAGTGAGAGAATGAAAACTCCTCCCACAAGCTTTTACCAGTGCTGGGCTGGACACTGATAGAAGTCACAAGACTGCTCTAACTGCTGCTGAGAAAAGGTATTTAGCAGTTTAAATTTACCACAATAATAGCATTTCCATGTTCTGGGTAATGTGGGAGCTGACTGGTTTCTATGCTAAGCTGCACCAGAAACTCTCCAGTGTTAGCAAATCAACTAGAAAGAAGAAAAAAGCAACCGAATGCCTGAGCTGGACAGTGAACTCCACAATGTCAATATCCCCACATGTGTATGAAAGGAATGCAAGCTTTGCTGCCCTCAACGGACCAGGGAAATAAAAAGAGAACTGTATATAAAGAGACAAAAAGAGGGCGCATGGGCCTAGTGCATTATCTTTAAAAATGAGATTTATTGATAAAAAGTAAAATACTCACAAGAGAAATAAAATCAAATGGAAAGCATGTCACAAGGAATGCAATGTGGTCCAAGACCCCTGAAGGTGGTCTGGTGGGGGACTGTAGACCTCTGGATAGCTGATTGCTGACGCGTTTCGGGGTTGTACCTCTTCTTCAGAGCCATTGTGACATGCTTTCCATTTGATTTTATTTCTCTTTTGAGTATTTTACTTTTTATCAATAATCTAATTTGTAAAGGTAATGCATTAGGCCCGTGCACCCTCTTTTTGTCTATACAGTTAGTAAATCAACCTCTATGACTCCTCGAGATGTCATTCTTACCTAGGTCAGAATCCTGGAAGAATCGAGGAGAAATACCCTCTAAAAAAAGGCAAAAAAAAATCTACATCTAATTGTAGAATTGGGGGGAGGGGCTTGTTGTGGGAGTGCAAGGGTGTTCAGTGGATGGGACAGGTGAAGGTCCCCTTTAAACTAACAGACAAATCAAATAGAAAAAGCAAAAAAGAATGGGTTGTATGGCAGGACATAGCCTAAAACAACATACGTATTGTGAGTTCAGTCATTATGACTCTGTGCCAGAGTATACTGATGGATTCATAAATACATTTATATCAATTCTTGTTGGAGTTTTTATAAACAAAGTGGTACCATAAAAGAAACACAAACTCAATTGTGTCGTTGGATATAAAATGGGAAAACATCAATGAACCTTAACAAGGCTTAGATATGAAAATTCAGATAGATCTGTATTGTATAACAATGATAAGAGAATGTTTCAGAAAGTGAAATATAAACAGCTCTGGATATAACAGATGGCAGTAGAAAGTTGTAGTGACATGTACCTTTAATTTGCTGGTAAATTACTAGAACAATTGTGCAGCATATGTCAGTTTAGGCAGAGACAGCAAAAGGCTGTCTGTGCTGCTTATGGCTGTTTAAATGCAATAAAAGGCACCAGAACTAGGATCTCCTCCCACTTAGTCCTGGTGCCTGTTTTTGCATTTAAGCAGCCATGTGGAGTACTGCAGCTGACCACAGATCACCAATGTGGGGGGGGGGGAAGCTGCGCAGGAAGGGAGGAGGGGGTTAGTGTTTCATCCAGCTGCTGACCCCCAATGCCCAGGGAAAGGAAGATTTTTTTACCCAACAACTGACCACCCATGCTGGGGAAATATTTTTGCAGCCAGTCACTGACCACCAGTACTAGGAGCTGTTATTATTACTTCCAGCCACTACTTACCACTAATGGTCACTGATTATTTTATGAAGTTCTTTAACATAGGCTTTAAAAGATATGTAATGGTAGAGAAAAAAAAATACATAATTACATAGTCTGGCTGGCAAAATTTTGCTTAGGTGTTAAGGTATGTTTTACCCTTAGGCATGAAGGGGTTACATAGTTACATAGTTAGTCTGACTGAAAAAAGACAAAACTCCATCTAATTCAACCACAAAAAAAAACAAGTTATAATCCTATACCTACAGTTGATCCAGAGGAAGGCACAAAACCCAGCAAAGCATGATCCAATTTGCTCCTGCAGGGGAAAAAATTCCTTCCTGATCCGCCGAGAGGCAATCGGATATTCCCTGTATCAACTTTACCTATAAATGTTAGTATCCAGTTATATTCTGTGTATTCAAGAAAGACTCCAGGTCTTTATTAACGCAATCCACTGAGCTGGCCAGAACCAACTCTTGAGGGAGTCTATTCCACAATTTCACAG